ACGTAATTAGTTTTTGGTGGCGTTTAGTTTGTGGTCGAAATTCCATGCAAAGGCGCATTTGGGAGTTTGAACGCCCCTGAAGTAGATAAAAGTGTTGACTTCAGAGAGTAGATACTGACAGTTCGACCATCGTTTTCGATGATGTCCACCGTGTGCCCCCCAGTTGCAGCAGCAATGGGAGCAGGGACGGTGACTTACGCAGGGGTTTATAGTGCCGGTAAGCTTGCGTAGCATCTACCTACACTCTCCTCCTCCCTCGCCCAAGCCCGGTGTCAAGACAGAGTCAAGAAGACCGGAGACGAGAGAGGCCGCAGGTGGATGGCTCGGACGGATCCTCACCTTGGCGTTCCACCACACCCCCTGGTCCACACAACAAATAACCAGGATTTCAACCAACACAACAGAGATTTGGAGGCTGGCACGGCCGAGGCCACACCTGGGCGTGCCGCCAACGCCTGGTTCGGATCCCACACTGTGATGGGAGTGCCATAAAGGCCACATTAAAAAGGAGCCATTGCAGCCTGACTCTCAGACCGCCTCCGGTCAAGGAGGAGGTCCAAGTTACCCCGTCAGTTGGCAACCTTCCAAGCCACGGCTTTTAGCGCACCGTGATAGCTTCAAGCGCGTCAGATTGTTTATAGTGAGGAGAAACTGCGCCGAGTCTTCGACCTCACTATCCCTTCCCACTCCCACACCCCAGCCGCTGTCCGAGCCGGTCAGCAGACTGGAGTGGGGAATGGGCACGGTGGCTGTCATGGTCGAATGACCATGACTGCGCGCACCACGGCACGACCTGGCCCCCCATGCACACAACACCAGGATTTCACACAACGGGGGTTGAACGGCGTGTCTCTCACTTGCGTGAGAGTGCCGTGGAAGGTGCTGTTTCAGCCCATTCCGGACCCACCAGTCCGCCACTCCACACAACACACACACAACGCGACGAACTGCGTAAACCGAGAGCGGGCGTCAATCAGCAACCTTCCTATCCACGACGCTTGACGTGTCGGGATAGTCTCGGACTCAAGTCACCCGTGCAGCCGAAGCCGCATGGGGACCGAGTCGAGATGCGGACTTCCCAATTGCGTGGGAGGTGGCAGTTGGGTGCATGAGGTATGTGAGTGTTGATGGTGGTGATGGTGGTGGTGGAGGAGGTAGGGAGTGAGTGAATGTGTGGTGTGGC